ATATTATTAAAATAATTATTAACTTTTGTTAATATATTGATTATAATTGACTATTATTAAAAATATGACACGGCGAGAGCAACGCGACTTAATATTATTATACAGCGGTACTCGATAGTTACTGTCACAACAGGGTGACAGTATCTATTTTTTTTTAGTCGCATTTTCTTTGCACTTTCTTTCATTTGCACTTTCGAAAGTCCAAATCTGTACTAATTTTGTTTCAAAAGAAAAAAAGTGCACCTCGGCTGAACGGACGCATAATTACAGTTTTGGATACATTAAATTATAAGATACAAGCAATGTTAAAAGAAGCAGGTCACATACCCTTCTCGTTGCGCACAACAAGAGGGAAACATAAAAAAGCGGGGTATATACAAATTAATCTTTTTAGAATATTTAAATACAGACGCTTTCTCGTTGTTCGCATGTACATCCAGAAGATTATTTGGAATAACATTACAATAGAACAGTCGGCAATTATCTTACACACTTTTTCCATGACACAAAGGTAATTTCCTTTGATATCTCAGAAACAAGTATATCGGACGAGATGCACACGAATCGCGAATATTAAAAAATATAGAAAAGAAATATTTGTATGTCAGTATATTTTGCATACATACATTTAAAACGTGGAAGAGAAAAGTCCCGATTCTCCCTAAAGCTCTGTTTTTCATCTATTTTTCTATTGTCCTAAAGATCTAATATATGCTACACGTCATTCGGTGAACACTAGTAGGTCACTGGCCAACTTTATGTCTTTCGCCTACGACGACGTCTTTTGTTCTACGTATTAAATATATGCATTTCTCTCGGAACGGTGACTCCATTCCCACGTACATTAATATACATCATACATTAATTATCTTCAACGACACTTGTATAACCGGAATCCACAACGACGATTCATAAAAAAAAGTTTCGAGAGACAAGGCGACGTCCCGATGATTAATCAACATCTAAGTTTTATAACTCCAAAGTCTTTAGAACGTGACATTCGCGTTGAACACTTAAGTTTATCCTCGAGGATTCACTCTACATTTTGCACGAATTCTTTTGCTTCCATCGAATCTCAGTTGTAGGTCATTTTCGATGGCAACACGTACAAAGACAGTGAATAAAGCATCGATGCGTACCAATGGATACCCTCTTGTTCTCCTCTCGTCGTCAACTCTGTTCTAGATACATCGTTATGTCTGGTCGCAAAGCGTTTTGCGTCGTCCAACCTTTGCAGGAAAAAGGATGTCACGCTGTGCCAGATCCTTAGCGGTAGGAAGGAATAATGTGCTAGCGACTGACTGTTGACAATGGCGTAGCAGGACGCGACGACGTCGTCCACGAGGAGATTACCCTCCATCGTAAGCGGAGCGTAAACTCCTTCCTCGATGACCAGTTTCGTCTCGTTGACACTATCCCATCGTAAACGACTATCCACCTCGTTCGTCGCGCTCGCTGCATCGGCGTCGCTCACGAGGATCTTGTCGCCGGGCTGCACGTTGGCGGCAAATACCGAACCACCCTCCACCGGCACCAAATGCGCTGGTGTTAACGTGAGCACTCGGCCAGACTTGGTCGTCAATCGGATGAACTGTCTCCTCTCGGACGGGGAACGATCCAAAAAAGCGATCACCTCGCTGTACACCACGTCGCCACGGGAGTCCACAGCGGCGATACGGTCGCCGAGGCGCACATCGTCCAACCTCTTCGTACTACCGTCCTCCGTTCGGACCAGACTCCTCCCGGGAAAGCAACCACCAGATTTGCCCGCTGAAGATGATTCTGAAAGCGAGCGTGCATAGAGAGTTAGGGTAGTGATATAAATAAGAAGAAAAAATATTAAAAGAATGAATATTAAAATAAAAATGTTGATATTCTTTTTAAATACGCGCTCCACAAAGCTAAACGGAGCTAAACGAAGTTATTGTAAAATCCTATTTCAAGGAAAACTACGGTAAAGCTACAGATGTAGAAGAAAAATTTATAAATATAAACATTTAAAAAAAAATTGAATATCTTTTAATGTAATTTTTTGGGGATGCATTATGAAAACGAAAAATGCTAAGATTACGGTGCAAAAAGAATGTGTTATCGCAGCGTTCTTGCAATCGTCTGTCGATTAATTAACGTGATTACGATGAAAATTGACGAAGCGTTAAACACGCATGGGTCGCGTTCACACTTTTTGTTGCACTTTGGCTTCCCTTCAGCTTATTGTTTCCCTTTTCGGTCCCCTCAACATCGACTCGTATCGGTTTCGCACCAATTTCTATGCTCGGTTTTAATTTGGATCGACAGGCACGCCTTGATTTATCGGCATTTATTTTGAAATTCGAGACCCAACCGTGGCCTGGAACGAACACGAATCGCTGATTGCTCTCGTATAGGTAAATATTGCTAGATCGAAAAAGAAAGCAAATATGCGAGAAGATTCTCATAATTAAAAATTATTTCACTCTGAGGAATAATTCTTGTTTCTTGAAACATAAAAAAGGTTTTACAAAATATTTTTTTTAATATTAAATTATATTATAACTATGATATAATTAAGTTAGAGGCTCTAAAACAGAATCTGATCACGAGATGACGAAATTTTTGATTCGCGTCGTTTTTATCAACTTTAGTAAGTTAGAATGAGATTATAGCATGTATAAAAAGAGACATTATATGTACCCATTTTTCTCATTCTTGTTTTGACAAAATTGCCTCGTGGCCAAATTCTCTTATAGGATCTCTAATGTAAATATACTGCAGGAGCCATCTTTTGGTGTATTTCGGAATTTCTTTCATTGTCTTATTGTTTAGCATATATGACAGAAATGTAATGTATTATTTTCATAATCTGTTTGAGATTTATAATTTCTTGCAGATTGTTTTTCATTAACGAAGCAACAAAAAAAAAACTGATGAATCGTATCGCTTTTTACTTACGTTATTTAAGTGTTTTCAAAAAAATTTGATAATTCATTTCAATTCGAATCGAATTGAATTCGATTTGAAGCTAATAACATTCATACAATGAATTTCTTTAAAATCTAATAAGATATCTGAAATGTTGTGAAAGTATTCGAGATATATCGGATAAAAATATTCAAGTTGTTCAATTAATTAATTATTCGAACTTGAATTGAATTTGATAGAAATAATCAGATTTAATCTGTGTTCGCGAGTATTCGCATTAATATCGCGCATCGCATGAATTTCCAATGAATGAGAGAAGAATAAAGAGTCGGTAAAATAGACATCTTTAGAAATTACGAATAAAGTAGTGGCGCCAATTTTCACGAAAGAATAGACAAACACACGATATTCATTTATTATAATTAGATGTTTGTTAAAAAAATTAATCCAATTTGTGTAATTGAAGTACAACGATTCTATAATTATTACAAGGTTATTATAAGGTTCGGACGTTATTAGCGATATTTGTTTTCATTGTTTATCAGACGTAAAACAAGAATAGAAGACACTTATAATAATATCAACAATGTTAAACGATTTTATGTCGCCATATAGGTAATACGTGCACTTAAGGCGTCAAGCCACTTTGTCATTCGCGATTTTAGTATCCTTGTTCCATTAAACGACGTTATTATACAACTGCATCGACCTCAGCATCTTTATTGCATAAAACGACATCATTACAACTACTGTCCAGTAGTTTATTCGCTCATTTTTATTGACATGGCGTTTATGCGGGTATTAACGCGAAATGACCGCAATTAAAATCCACATGAGGTCCGCGGATTGACCGCTTTTAATGCTCTCGCTCTCTCCGAAGCGACAAAACAATTCGATCGCAATTCGTACATTCTTTTGCACTCATTTGGTAATACATTTTAAGCGGTATAATGGAAATTACTAACCAGACTTGACGGAGCAATGTATGTGCGACCTGGACTCGTAGTAGACCCAGTCGAAACCAGCCTCAACAGCGAGTCTCGCCAGCATCCCGTACTTGGAGCGATCGCGATCGCTCGTCGTCACGTCGACGGCACGTCCCTCGTAGTGCAGGGAATCTGTCGCATGCATGCCTTCCTCGTCCCAACCTTCGACAACTCGCAGTTTCACTCCGGGCCACTGGTTCATCACCGAGATCGCCAAAGTGTTAAGTTTCTCCTTGCACCTCTGTAATATTACATTTCAAGATTGGTAACAGATCGGTAGAGTGTCATTATTCTAAAGACAGAAACAACAATTACAATCGTTTTTTTTTTTTTTAAATATAAATGTACAATGACTTAAGTTAATCTTGAAAATTTAATAACAGTATTTACAATGCATTTGGTTGTTTATACAATATGTGGTGGACATGAGAAAACACTATATCATCTAAGTTTACTTTAATGCTGTAAGCTCAACAAAATCTGACATGTTGAAATGTATTTTTAGGGATTTAAAGTATTACTCTGGACTTTTTATTTACATATTTCTCCTAGTCTACTTTCAGAGGGCTTTTTCTGATATTATTTAGAATTCAGATTAAGCATACATTTGGTTTTCATTTTTCTCAGCGAGAAACTCTTTCATCTCAAACCACTTTTCCGGTTAGTTCCACTTAATACGATTTCCGTCACATTTGAAAACATCGTGCAGGACGGTCCGCCTTGGCTCGGTCCAGACCTGGGAATTCAGCCGATTTCATGGTGCACGCGGAAAAAGGGGGCCTTCCTCGTGACCCAGTGGCGTCAGGTACAGAGCAATCGTTCCGTCGCGAGAATCGCTGGTTAGGAAAACGAATGCGTATTTTGACTGGTTGTAAGATCGGTCCGGGATCTTTAAGAGACTTTAACGGGCTCAGATCCGTGGCGAATCAGCGGGCAAACAGGAATATAAATACGGCCGATGTCGAGGATCATTCAGTCACGCCGAGCCATTTCCCCTCTTCTTGCCTGGAATCACTTCTCTCTCTCTCTCTCTCTCTCTCTCTCTCTCTCTCTCTCTCTCT